ACGAACAATTTCTTTGCAATACAAAGAACGAAAATTGTTCGTAGCGTTGCAAACTATTTAGTTCGTAAGCTTTTTACAGTGTTACCAACAGTTTTAAACTGTTAATTGGAAAACAGTTTTATACTGTAAAATTATACTGTAAAATTATACTGCATGTAAAATGTTGTGCTCTGTCCTAGGACAGAGTGCAGATTTTTACGATGTTGAGCGGTCATTATAATTAACGGTTTAAAACTGCCTGTTAATTGTAATCAACTGTTGAAGGTGCTGTAGATTTTTTTTTACAGTGCAGATCAAGCGTTGTGACGACTTCAGAATTGAAAATTGCGTGGAGGCGGTGGAGAGAGACAGAGACAATGAAGAGAGAGAACTACGCAGAGCAGAGACGCGATGGAACTCATGGCGGCATTGCAGAGTGGGCGCTGAGGCTGGCGCTGGCTCTACAGGGTGCTTGAGACCTCATTACCCAGTCTGTAGGGCAGGAAGGGATAGGTCATTCCTGGGAGGCATCCACGCGCCACGCTTGGCCGGAGCACGAGCCGCCACTAGCACCCTATGAGGTCATAGATGGAGTAGATAGATAGATAGATAGACGCACAAGACAACGGACCCCCCCCCCCCTCCCCCCTTTCCCCGTGCCGAAGTCATTACCACGCGCCCTTAGCCGCCACCACGAATCAAAGCCTCCCCCTTCCCCTTCTCCGGAGCCGTAGTTGAGCCCGGGCGAGCACTTTCTGTCCCTGGCTGCCGTGTGCTTCGTAGAGGGTTGCCGCCGGTTGCCTCCCCCTTCTGTTATAGCCTCTCTACTAACCTTATCGCGAGTCCGCTGCTTCATAACCACTAGAGCGGGGCGCTATAGAAAAGGATTTTTGAAATTGAGAACGCGGAAAAGTTGCCATATCCGATGACAAATCCAGCCCAAGTTTAACTTTTGAAATCGGTTAATAATTTCCGATCCCGCAGAGCGTTTGAAGTTTCGCATGGCGCTCTTATGGCAAAAAGGATTAAAAAGTAAAATTTCCTGATTTCGGCTTTCCAGCGAACATTTCTCAAAAACGAATTTCGCCAATGCAAACTATTAAAAAAGACGTGTCTGATGATGTTAAGAGCTGGGAGCCAACCGCATAGCACCCCATAGGGCTGCAGCCCAAGGAAAATTCGTGCACAGCACACAAATTCAATTGAGCTTAGACAGAATTAGTTGAGAGAGAGCCTTCAGTTCTCCGAAGGCAACTTTTTTCTCATGTTGGCCCTTGTTTCGTTAATCAGGAGTCTGTATTTTAAGAGCATGGTGTGTTATACAGTCGATTGGACCTCTCCAGCCTCCCTTAGTCCATTTCCCTCGGCCAGACTAGCAAAACACAAACGGGCCTTTGTGCACCAATCACTCTGGGTGCTGCCTGTGTGCTGGGTAAATGTGCGGTCAGGTTGGAGTGGGCGAAAGGGCGAGGGGGGAGGGGAGGGGCTACTTCCGTAGCCGATGACGCGATGGGA